ATATAACACATCATGATGTTATCAGTTAGACCATATAACACATCATGATGTCATCAGTCACTTGGACAATTCACCTACACTGCCATCACTAATATGCACCTTCTTCATTTTTGTACTGTACTACACGGTGTATATATGTATATAAATGTATATGTATATGTGTTTATGTATATGTGTATACAGTATGTGCATTGGTATATGTACATCACTATATATCACGTGTATATCGTGGTTTTTTGTTTGTTTGTTTTATTTATCTTTCTTTATTCTTCTCACCCTCTCCTGTATTGAGCTGCAGTAATGTGCAAATTTCCCCACGGTGGGATCAATAAAGTTTGATCTTATCTTATCTTATCTTATCTTATCTTATCTTATCTTATCTTATCTTATCTTATCTTATCTTTTCTTACCTTACCTTACCTTACCTTACCTTACCTTACCTTACCTTACCTTACCTTACCTTACCTTACCTTACCTTACCTTACCTTATCTTATTACACACAGCAAAGAACAAAAAATATGCAATCAAAATAAAATGAAAGGCAGCAGAAGAATAAATCTTAAAATATCTGCCCCTTTTTTATCCCCAGAATATGTTCAAAATGACAGTAAATTACAACAAAATTCAAAACAACTGAAAACACAAAAACAAAGCTAAATTTAAAACAGTAACTCAAACAACAAATTGCATGGATTCACTTATGCTTCTCCATATTTCTTTTAGACAGACTATGTTACTGTTTTGTCACTGTTTTTTATCATCGTTTTTGTTTGTTTGTTTTTTTCTTCAGTCATGTTTGACCACACTACTTCTCCTTTTAGGATGCTTCCGTTGCTCATTTTTGTTTTGTATAAACATGTTCATAAAAAGCATTAAGACTTTATTTTTTCTTTATTGCACACATCTTTTTCCAAGTGTCTTTTAACATTTTGTTACGTTTAAGTTTTAACCTTTTTACTTTCTTATGTTTTTGTTTTTAGTTTATTCAGCTTCAAATGCCACGCTGCCACTTGCAGTTACTCATCCCTTCCGATAGAGGGCAGTGTGTTTGAAACGGCGCTGTTTCCTCATCCTCCCACTGGCGTTTCATGAAAAAAGGAGGAGAGATTTCCGGTTCAAGTGAACACATCGGCTGTTGAGGATAAGTGGAAAAAGAAGGTTTTAAACGCGGACCGGCGTGAGGCACACGGGCCCCGGTGTTTAAAACGTCTCGACCGGCTTGTTCCGAGCGGCTTCATGCTGTGTCACCGCGGGGACGCTTGAGTCTGTCGGCGTGGAGAGGCGCTCCTGGTGCGGGAGAAAAATGCCTTCTTTCCCATGGAGGTAAGGCTTCTGAGCCAAAGTATGCCACGATAAGATGAGCTAAGCTGCTAAAAGTTGCGTTTTCACGATGCTAGCTTAGATAAGAAATACAGGAAGTGATGCTGAGTTATTGCACTGCTTAAATACACGTCAAACATGTCTATTTTTACGCTTTATACGTTTAAATAATGAAATTAAACACACGAAAACATAACATTTTGTGTATTTTTTTAGTCACTTACATATCAAAACATGTTTTTAAAGTGTCTTATTTAATTTAATTTGATTATTTGTGTCACTCTTTGTTATGTAGCTGTCTCCAGCTCCTCAGTGACAGTTTTATGGTCATAAAGGTGATGTCCTGTTCCACAGGCCTGTGGTGGAGCAGCCACATGATGGTGAATTCCTCCACCCCTAACAGGCTTCTTGTTCAGATCCAGGTCCTGCTGGAGTGGGCTGTTGGTAGGCCAGGGCTCAGCAGCACAAAGAGCCTCTGTGTTGCTTCAGACTCCCCCGAGGAGGAGGAGGAGGAGGAGGAGGAGGAGGCCCTGCCTGGCTACGATCAAGATATACTGTGTGCCTCAATAGGGAGCTCCACACCTTACTGATAAAAAGCCTTAAATAGGAGTCACACATGTATGCAGTCTACCTTTTTTTATATATATATATATAGATGTCTAACAGGTTTGTTCGCATGGATGTATTATCGGCATCTGGATTGAACGTTCAAGCTTATAAATTAAAAACTTGTTTCTAGCCAAGGGCCAAGCCCTTATCAGTATTTATCAACAAGCCTCGTAATCTAACCTTGGTTTTAGTTATAATTTTTTTAATTCGTTCTGAGGGAAACGCAACAAAGATCCAGTCTGTCGCAGAATGATGAAGCATATCTGATGCATTTAAAGTATTATCTTCCAGGGCCTGATAAGATATTAACAAGAGCTGGATCTGAATAGACAGCCTTGAGTTTAACACGTGTGCCTTATAGAGCAGTGTTTCCCAAAGTTGAGGTCGGGACCCAAAGTGGGGTCCCGAAACATCAAGGTGGGGTCCTGAAAAGATTTTCTGAATTAATGACATTTTTGCCTTAGTTGTTACAAAGGAGTGAGGTTAGTGTATTTAAAACTGATAAATGTAGTATAAAAATATTGTTACTATGCCCATGTTTAGTTGACCTGATACAAATGTTTATCATCCAGAAACAGTTGTGGGCACAGGTCTCTGCTACTGTTATTTTGTGGGTCAAAAGCTGAAAAGTTTGGGAACCACTGCACTTTGGTTCCCAAAGTTGAGCTTGGGACACAATTATGGGTCATGAAGCACCTTGGATAATCTCCAGAAATCAATTTAAAGGGTAAAAAAATAATTGATGATGTAATATTTTCCCTATAATTATTACAAAAACACAAAATAAGTATAAATAAGTATTTATATTTGTGTACTAGCTGTTTAGATTGTCAAAAAGCCTGTGTTTTTAGGGTGATTAACGAAGTTTGTGTACTCAGACCAGTAATATTTGGGGTCACAAGTTTTTGCCATGGATATTTTGTGGGTCAGAAGATAAAAAGTTTGGGAACCACTGCCTTAGAGGCATGGAGGTCAACTTGAAATGAAAATGTGGCTCCTTCAGTATCGTATTATTATTATTATTATTATTTTAATTGGGTAAAATTTGAGTGTCTCAAACAAATTTGTGCTCAGGAAAGAAAATATTGGTTTTTAATAAGTTATGTGTTTTATATATTGTTTTACCTCCCTGAAAATAGCACTTTAGACTCAAAATGAGGCACAGCTGGTCAAGAGAATAAAATGGCTGCCATTGAAAATCTAAAGTGCATTGGATTGATAATTGTAATGTAAATAATTAAAATTTTCCTTTGGGATACCTGGTACCAGACATAAAACTGCATCTGATGTTTTTGCTCTTGTTGTCCATGTCTGCAGAGTTAACAGCGTTCTGAGAAAGTATCGACTCTTCCACGCTCCTGAAGTTATCTGTAATGTTGTAATGTTTTTATCCCGTTGTGTCCGTCAGGGTTTGGCCTGCACTTGGGCTGCTTTGGTTCCCCGCCGCTGTGGCTGCAGAGGAGGTCTCGCTCCTGGACAGCTGGAGCGACGTCTGGCTCTTCCGCTTCCTCGTCAACATGCTGGGGTACGCCACCATCGTCGTCCCCGGCTACTTCCTCATTAGATACTTCAAGCGCTCCAATTACATCGAACGAGGTGGGGGTTTTATGAAAGCGAGCCTGTTCTGGGGCAGAAACCTATTCCTCTAGTCCAGCTTTACCTGGTGGTTTTTGTTTGTTTGCTCTCACCCAGGCAGCGGGGTGTGCTACCCGCTCGTAAAGACGTGTGTGTACGGCAGCGAGGACAAAACCGGTCTGCTGGACGATGGATCCAGTACGAACAGGAACGAGGCAGATTCGGGCTCATCCGTCAAACAGGCTGTAAAGTTGATCTTTTGTGCTGCAGGACTTCAGGTAGGAGCTCCTCCCACAACCAACATTCACTGAATACATTAATAAAACTGTTGTGTTTGCTGTATGTGTGAAAGCAGCAGCTCTGAAGACGCCTTCGTAGGAAATCGGGGCTAAAATCCACATAAATGTAGCATAAGCAGAGGTGTGGCTCCAGCTTTTATGGAAAAACAAATATACATTACGAATAAATCCACATCTACGTGTCAAGAGGGAATTTCTTCAAAAACAAACAGAAAAGTTGTTGGATTTAATTTTTTCTGTTTTAATTTTCGTCTGTTTAACTTCAACTGGAGCTACTCAAGACACATGCTTTAACTTATGCTTTAAAGACATCAAAAATTCCTCATTAAAATAACATAAAATTAGGATTCAGACCAAAATATTTATGTATTATAATAATAATAATAATAATAACTTTATTTGTGAAGCGCCTTCAAACAAAGCGCTGAACAGGAGATAAAATCACAACAAGAGATGAATTCACAAAAAGCAATGATAAAGTCACAGAAAACAAGATAAAAACAATTAAAAGATAAAATTAAGACAAATAAGAGAGTTTGAACAGGTGCGTCTTTAACTCTGCTTTAAAAACAACAGAACAAGCCTGCCTGATGTCCTTTGAGAGATTGTTCCACAGAGAGGGGCACGAAAAGAGAAGACACGTTTACTGATGGTCTTTCTTCTGGCTTTAGGAATCATTAATAGACCAGTACCTTCAGATCTGAGAGATCGTGGTGGAACATAAGGATGTAAGGTTGAGATATGAAGGCGCCAGGCCGTTTAAGGCTTTGTAGGTGAGCAGCAAAACCTTAAAATTAGCTCGAGCCTGAAAGGACAACCAGTGCAGGGATTCTTAGAATGAGTTAAAATACGGGCAGCTGCATTCTGGACCATCTGCAAACATCTAAAGCTTTTCCTGGGTAGTCCAGAAAGGACAGAGTTGCAATAATCAATGTGTGAAGTCACAAACGCGTGGATGAGGACCTCAGCATCGTTGAAAGAAAGAATGTGCCGGATTTTGGCAATGTTCCTAAGATGGTAAAAGGCGGTCCTAGTTACTAATTTTAAGTGGAAATCAAAAGAAAGCACCAGATCAAACCACACACCTAGGTTTCTAAATGTTTCTTGACATCTAATGATCTTATTATCAATTTGCAGGGGAAAAACTTGAGACAACCCATGGAACGTTTTTGGGCCAGTGATGATTAAATCAGTCTTGTCAACGCTGAGGAGCAGGAAATTGTTAGATAACCAACCTGTAATCGCTGACAGACAGGCCTCCAAATTAGGCAAGTTGGCACAGTTTCCCACTGTGAAAGGCAAATACAGCTGTAGATCGTCCGCATAGCAGTGGAAAGTGATGTTAAATGAATGAAGGAGAAGACCAAGGGGCAAAAGATATAATGAGAACAGCAGGGGGCCCAGCACGGACCCCTGAGGGACCCCTTGCTTCACAGTGCAGGTTGCAGAGAGCTTATTTTTAAAATAAATAGAGATCTACTAGTTAGATATGATTTCAGCCATGAGAGCCATTATAACCAACAAGACAAATAAAGTTGTATATATTGATTTACTTATATCAGAATGATCCAGGTATCAAAATATAGCTTTTAAAACCAGGAATCTGAAAATTTAATKAGGTCATTTTGACCAAATTTGATTTAATCCTCGTTTCGATATGATGGCTCACATATTTGGTGAATTGGGAAACTAAAAAGCCCTGAAAAGGTAACTTTTGTTTGATTCTCAGGCCTCGTATTTAACATGGGGGGTCCTCCAGGAGAGGGTGATGACTCGTTCCTATGGAGCGGCGACCCCCGAGGACGAGGGCGAGAGGTTCAAGGACTCTCAGTTCCTGGTCTTCATGAACCGTATCCTGGCCCTGACCGTGTCGGGGATCTGCTGCCTGGTGTTCAAACACCCTCGCCACGGCGCGCCCATGTACAAGTACTCCTTCGCGTCGCTGTCCAACATCCTGAGCAGCTGGTGCCAGTACGAGGCGCTCAAGTACATCAGCTTCCCCACGCAGGTGCTGGCCAAGGCCTCCAAAGTCATCCCCGTCATGCTCATGGGGAAGCTGGTGTCCCGCAAAACCTACGAGTACTGGGAGTACTTCACGGCCGCGCTGATCTCCGTCGGCGTCAGCATGTTCCTGCTGTCCAGCGCGGCCGCCAAGCACCCGTCCACCGTCACCACCTTCAGCGGCGTGGTCATCCTCGCCGGCTACATCGTCTTCGACAGCTTCACCTCCAACTGGCAGGACAACCTGTTCAAGTACAAGATGTCGTCGGTGCAGATGATGTTCGGGGTCAACCTGTTCTCCTGCCTCTTCACGGTGGGCTCGCTGCTGGAGCAGGGCGCCTTCTTCGACTCGCTGGCCTTCATGGCGCGCCACTCGGAGTTCGCCTTCCACGCCGTGCTGCTGTCCGTGTGCTCGGCGTGCGGCCAGCTCTTCATCTTCTACACCATCGGCCAGTTCGGCGCCGCCGTCTTCACCATCATCATGACGCTGCGGCAGGCCATCGCCATCCTCCTGTCCTGTTTCCTCTACGGCCACGCCATCACCGTGGTGGGCGGCTTCGGCGTGGCCGTGGTTTTCCTGGCGCTCTTCCTGCGGGTGTACGCGCGGAGCCGCAAGAAACCGAGCCGGCTGTCCGCGTTGCCCCACGTACAGAAGGTGTAGCGCTCGAAAAGTCGGCCCGAACTGGGAAATAAAACCACGTTTTTGTGGTGCCGTTTGACTTCTTGTTATGTTTTTTGTTTTTTTCTTGGCGTCGGTACAGAAAAGGGAAACTGCAGTTTTGATTCTTAAACCGAAACGCCCCCAAGGGGTCCAGGTGGTATTTAAGGTCGCAGAGGTTTTGAGTGCCTGTAAGATTCTTATGTTTTAAACTGCAAACTGCCTCTTACACTTTCAGTTTAACAGGGTTTGTTTTAACTTTCTACCACCACATGTGGCTTGTGCGTACAGTTTAAGGTTACTGAATGGATAAACGTTCATTTCTTTGAAGCGTTAACAATATTTTCCTCATTCAAAAATAAAAAGGGTCAACTTTTAAAAACACTTTGTTATAAAACACGATAGCAGGGATGCTATACACAATAAACATGTGTTCTCAGATATATTCCAATTTGTCAGCAGCGAAAATCGACACCGTTTGTTGTTTTAAATTATATATTTTGACCAGAAATCACAGCTGATTTCTCCTTGAATGGTTTTTAATTTAAAACGTTTTTTCACAGATTTCATGAATTGTTTTAAAACTTGGTTCTGAAAACATGTAAATATGTATCCTTTTTATTTTATTACCATTTGTTTTAAACTTGTGCTTTCTGTGTTTTTCATGTGAATGTTTGGATCAGCACTGAATGGATGATGATGTCAAAGCTGGGGGGCAGTTTGCAGAACAAAAATGCACAAAAAGAAACAAATGCAATGTTACTGGTTGTTATTGCCATTCTTCTACTTTCTCTGGTAAATGGATTAATAATAAAACATGTAAATTAACTCAACACTTTCTTTTACACTTCCTTTAATTTGTAAAAAACAGTATCTTGAGTTTGGGGTAACCGGTTGTAGACGGACATCCAGTAATTACTTTGTGTTTTGTTTATATCTATTCAGTGGTTCATGAGAGTTTAAACATGTTTCACTCCAAGTGTGTGTGTGTGTGTGTGTGTGTGTGTGTGTGTGTGTGTGTGTGTGTGTGTGTGTGTGTGTGTGTGTGTGTGTGTGTGNGTGTGTGTGTGTGTGTGTGTGTGTGTGTGTGTGTGTGTGTGTGTGTGTGTGTGTCGGAGATGTTGCTCAACTGAAACCACAACAAATTTAAGCAAAATATCTCAAATTGGCTGACTTCAAGCACATTTTATGTTTCCCAAGGTCAAAAAACAGTTTATTTGTAAATATATATTCAGCCTATGTTTGCTTTCTGAAAGTTTTATTAAATTTAATTCAGTGGTTCATGATGTTTTGCTAACAAACTCCGGTATATAATGTCAAAGTTGATGATATGATGTGTCTAAAATCCCTCCTTTTCACATTTAAATCCTCTAAAGTGGAACTACAAAGCTTCGGTCTGAATTCCTACTTATTCTAACTTTACCAGCTCCTCTTTCACCACTTTTCTACTGTGTGCCTCGTTTTGTTACTGTTCCTTTAAGACGCTCCAAGCCCCGCCCCCCTCTGGCTTCCAGACCAGTCCACTCCGCTGTGAGAGAAGGGGGGTTTTTACGTTTTTTAGCAATGCAGAAACATTTTATTTACAATTTAATTAAAATATGTGAACAACAGACTTGTCCATCCAGCCTTACATGTTGGAGCCAGAGTCTGACCCAGAACCAGAGTCTGACCCAGAACCAGAGGAGAATGAAGACTTAAAGACTTAGTAAGACTTAGTAAGTCCAGACCTTATTTGGCAGTTCTGTCACAAATACTGTGATGTAATCGTTCAGAAAGTGTTATAGAAAATAGAGAAAACTGAATGTGTTAAAAAATATGAGTCAAACAGAAACTAAAGATCTACGCAGCACCAGGAGAGACTAAAATTTCCTGCAATCCTGGAGACTCCCGAGTCCACAACCAAATGCATTTACCGATTAAAAAAATATGGATTTTACATATGTCCCTTTTTTAAAAGATGAGTTTCAGCCACTACCACTCTAAATTTCCTGTCCTGCAACCAGCCGGTCGAGGCAGATGGTCTCCTGTTCTGAGCCTGGTTCTGCTGGAGCTTTCTTCCTGATTAGCAGGGAGTTTTTCCTCTCCACCGTTTGCTCAGGATGGGAGACTGTGATGAAGTGATTCAACACAATCTGCTGCTTTCTTCTTTACATTGTTCTTTTTATGTACAGTGTCCTGAGACAACGTATGTTGTGACTTGGTGCTGTATAAATAAACTTGAACTTAAATGACAGCCCCATATCTGTAAAAGTTGCTGAGTCATTCTTGTGTTTGCTAAGGTTGCTGTGCTGTGGCAGGCTTTTTGTATCTGTTAGTCTCAAAAGTTAATCACGAGTCCAGCCACTAAAAGTTTTAATGAGATATTTTGCTTATAGGACAGATGATGGCTACAAAAAAAAAGGTAACAGTTTAGTAAAAAATGCCTTTCAGTTCATTCAGCAGAAAGTTTACAAACCAATGCCAGGATGCAGCACAGCTCTGGTATTACAGTGACTCAGCACTTTCTTTATCCGTTAATTATCTGTATAATTGTTTTTTTGTTAAAAATGACATCAAACGAGACATTTAATTTTCTTTCCACGTTGATCTTTCTGTTCTCGTTCCACTTTCTGAGGTCTGAAACGAAGGCGAGCAGAGCCGTTGTTGAAACTGGTCTGAAAGGCCATTTTTATGATTCACTGAAGACAAGAACTCCCCTCCCTTTGGTTAATAATCTCAGACAGGAATTCCCCTCTGCTGCTGCTTTAAAGGTCCTACTTTAATAGTGCATCATCTTCTCCCCGTCTCCGGTTGTCTTCTCGGTGGTTGGAATGAATCACGAACAAGGAGGGGCCTGGGGGGCCGGGGGTCTAAAACAAAACTACAGATGTGTGATGCATGTGTGATGCTCTGGTTTCAGTCCCACGAAGGACCAGTCTCTCTGAGCACTCACTGCAGTTTTCTCTCCTTTATTAACCAGCAGAAGGATTAAGCCTTTTTAAAGCGTTTGTGCCAATTTCCCTGGACAAATCTTGTCTTTTATCTCCAAACAGCTGCTAAACGAGACAAAATAAAATCTTTGTTGATGCCGTCTGATCAGACCAGTGAAATGAACGGCTGCTTATGATTTATGGCTCAGTTAAGCATAAAAAATGTTAATTTACTTGGGTATAATGCAACCCCAATTCAAAAACAAAGCCTGAAGCCTTATTTTTTTTCAAAGTGGAACATAAAAAACAGGAAATGTTTAAAAAAACCATCTGGATGGGCACATGTTTTTCAAATTGCATACATTTTTCTGGATAGATGATGATTTTCCAGATGCTATAAGCCCTAATGTTGTTAGTCATAGTAGCAACGCTCTGTTTACATGCAGACATTCCCCTTTGACATCACTTCCTGTTACTGAACATGTGAATATCTCAACAACTGTTTGTCTCAGCGACGTGAAATTATTTTTGTAATAAGTTATCAATGTTATCTTTCAAAAAACGCATTAATATTTATTACGAAAAAAATAGTCACAGGCACTTTAAAAATTATTTGGCCTTTTTCACTTCTTCAAACTCATCTTTTGACACAAGACAATGATTTTTTTTATTGTTTGATTTAATGTGTTTTTGTTTTTATTCTAAGGCAGTTTTGCTTTGATTTTAGTTTTTATTGCGTAATGTGACTGCTGTTGTGTTTTATTGTCTGTCACTCTGTGGTCGTGCAGTTTGCTAAATACAGCTGCTGGTTCACAAATGTTCTAAAGAACCCCACTTCAAAAGAACAAAACTCTTGTTTTTACATTTTTAAATCAGGTTCATTTTACAAATGTTTAAAAGTTGTTTTTCCGTGTTCCAATCATGTGATCTTAAACACACCCATCTGTTGTCTCAAAATATCTGTTGTCTTTTCTTTTTTTTTTTTTTTGGTTGCTGAATTTCTCACTTTCTTCCATTTGCGTAACCTTTCACTCCACGCACAGAACAGGAGTGATATCGGTCTAATTCCTTTAAAGTTGGGATTTCAGAAACAGCAGAACCACAGCATTTCGAACGGCGTCACCAGGCTGTTTTACAGCACGGCTGGAACGTAAACATGGCCTCGCAGACCATGTGCAGCACCTCGCCTCGAAGGCTTTTGTGGTTTGATGTGTTTCAAGCTTTACGACAGAAGGTTTTATTTCTGCTGTGAAGGCCTTTTATCTGCTCATCTTGTTTCCTTTCCTTCTCAGTGTGGGTGTTTTGTTCCTGTCTACTATTTAGCAAGTGCTGTCAAATGAGAAGTACTACTATGGCTGTTGGACTGTTTCAGATCAGTAGCACTTTGACGTTTTTTAGGCATTTTAAATGTCACTGAAACTAGACTGTACTCGGGTCTGCAGGATGGTGTGGTTTATAAATCCTCAGCGAGTCAAATACCACCTGATCGTGTCAGTCTGGTGGTCTGTTATTGCTGTGGCGCAGACAAAAGGAGGTGTCTAACAGAGGCAGGCGTGGCAGCAAAACAGACGAGTGTGTGGACCGAATGTGGACAGAGAGCCAGAATCATCTTCAGCCAAATCAGCAGAAACTGAGCAACTCAGAAGTAGGTCATGCATTCGGCTAGTTGTGCAATTTAAATTCATTTTATGTCAGTTCTGCATTAAACGAGAACGGGCACGGCCCACCAGGAACCCCCCCTGATTTAATGCACAGGGTTAAGAGGAGATTTACACGAGGGGGTTAATTGTTTCAACAGGAAGTCATTTTTTATTAAAAAAAGCAGTAGTTGCACTTTGCTATTTTATGAGAAAATGTTGCTGACATGTAACAACTCTCACCAGGAAGTTTCCAGATTCAACCAGACAGATTTGTTCCTGAAGACTAATAATTCCTCTGAAAAAGACACGACAGATTGGATTTCTGTTTGCATTTCATTTAAAATCGTAATGCTTTTGTTTTTGGTTTATTGCATTTATGCATCGTTACAATCACCCAATTAAAAATGAAAAAAAAAAAAACCTATTCAGATCTTCCCCAGAGGTTACAATTTTGGCAACTTTTGAGGAACTTTCTCTGTTTTTTTCTCTATTTTTTTTAATCTCACAAACAAACAGAGGAGTTTTGAGAGATTTTTTTTTTCTCCAAACAAATTTCTGATGGTTTTGTTTGAAAAAAATAAATATTCAGGTAAATTTTAAACGACCTTCATTGGACTTTACTGGAACATTTTCTAAATATACCCAAAGGAAACTGTGAAAAAAAAGTACAAACAGAACATCAAGTGTTTTCCTTTTATGCACCTTTTAACATCTATAAAAGATGGGTTTCCTGATTCTCGCAATTTAAAGCAAATATTAAAATTCTCGTGTGATTTATTTAGGATCTACTAAAATAAATAAATAAAAAATGTGTTCAGGTTTCTGTAAACCTTAGAAAAACCTCTGAATATTTAACAGTCAAGTAAAGTTTAAGGTTCTGTTATAAAGTCATGATAAAAAATATCTTACCTGTAGTAGATGCTTCTTTAAACCAATTGTTCCCAAAGTTGTTCCCTGTGGGTCCTGAAACAAAGTGGGGTCTTGAAAACATTTTTTGAATTAATTACATTGAAAATTTACATTTTTGTCTTAATTGTTACAAAAGTGTGAGTTTGGTACACTTAAGAGGATAAAAGAAGCATAACGAATATTGTTACTGTGCACATTATTAGGCCTGATATCGTCTAGAAATAATTGGGGGTGCAGGTCTGTGCTGGTGTTTTGCAGTTTTTGTGGTGTTTTGTAGCTTTTGTGGTGTTTTGTAGTTTTTGTGGTGTTTTGTAGTTTTTGTGGTGTTTTGTGGATCAAATTGCTGTTTGAAAAAAAGAGTTGAATTCAGGCCAGATTGATGAGCTAAAGGCTAGTCAGCGCTGCCGCCTGAAAACAACCTTCAGGATTTTTAAACATTTAATCCCTCAGAAATATAACATTCCCACTAAAAGTGGTTCATGCTGCATTGGGAGTGCTACAGCTAGCTGCTGCCGCCTCTAAATAGATTCTAACTAAATAATGCAAAACTGGTGGAACTGATTTAGTGTTTATTTTAGAATAAATGTTATTAACTTTTAAGTAAATTAAAAATCATTAAGAACACTGAACTTTGGAAACTAGTTGAAGACTTTGAGGCAACTTGTCATTTTCTCAGCAACACAGAACATTGTTTTGGTTTCCTCAGGTGCTCAACACGTGTTTGTCTCACTGTCATCCTTTCACCTCAACATTTTATGACTGAAGTCAGCAGTTTTTTTTTCTCTTTAAACTACTCATTTGCATATTATGTTCAGCAAACAGCAAAATCTTCAGGGAGGTGGTCTCATAAGGAGTCATAAAAATAGTTTAATCTTTTCTCTAAATGACACGTTTCCAGTTCCCCACTGTAACTTTGACAAGTGTTGAGGGAGAGACGCCCGCGCTTCTGTTTTTACCAACAATGGCAGAAAGCAGCTGCCACCCCCTCATCTGTTCTTTTTTTATTCCACTTCCAGGAAAGCTACACTTGACACCCCCCCACTGCAGTGCTTCATACTTTCAGGTAAACTGTGCCCTCAGTACCTGCTGGTGTCACTTCCAGTCATCTGTCACAATAAACAGGACAGTTTTTGTTTTGCTTTAAAAAAAACTGGAACTAGTCAATGGATTTAAGAATTTAGGCAAAGAAAAAGTTGCAAAACAAGTTAAATATTAAAGATTAGTTGCAAACTAGCATGCAGGCAGAGCCGGCTCTTGGCATAGGTGAACTAGGCGGTCGCCTAGAGCGCCGTCTGCTGGAGGGGGCGCCAAACTGCAGAAAAAAGTAATTATTTGTAATCCCTGGTTGTAACTCTGCTCTAGAGGCTGACATTTTTTCGGGAATCCCATGGGTCACGTGATTCCCACGGGATTCCTGTGGGATGGGAATTGACTTAACTGTTACTCACGTGATTGGGACGGTACAGGATCTAAAGTTAACGGGAGCAGACGGGAGCGGGAAACAAGTTTCGTCATGACAAAAAAAATAGAACTGGCGTCGCCATTTTGTAGTCCTCTGT